AATTTTATAAGAAGTTCATATGAAATTGGTAAGAAACTGATAAGATTCTTATAAGATATTCATAAGAAAGTGACAAGACGGCTTGTTACTTTCTTATGAATATCTTATAAGTTTCTTATAAGAATCTTATCAGAACCAGTGAATTTCTTATCACTTCCATGCAACATCTTAAATAAGAATCTTATCAGATACTTATAAAAATTGTCAAAAAGTCTTTCTCTAGGTGAATAATCACATATCAACTTATCCTGTTTCCTCATGACTAAAAGGATCTCTTTCACATAGATTCAGAAGCCTCCAAACAAGAAGATTAAAAGCGAAAATTTGAACGCTGATCTTGAAACTAAAGTAGTCATTTAATGCCTCTAAACTGCAAAACCATGTTCCACTTTCACCAATGAATAGAACGTAAACATAATCACCAAGAGTTAGTTTTGAAAAGCTAAATAAGTGTTTCTTCAATTACAAAATATTCTGCTGCTTGTCCAGTGTCTTTTCTAGATCAACGGACGTTTCTAGGACACATCAGTTCCAAACAGTCTAATCAATGGCAAGTTCAGCAGTAAAAGCAGCTGATCAACCACGAGCTCAATAGTACTGGAAATCGAATTCTGATCCATGATCAACAAACGGAAAAGAAGAATGGATACAATATTCTGATATCGAATCAGCGATTATTGAAGAAGCACTTAATGGAAAAAATAAAACAAAACTAGCTGAACTAGATAATTATTCGATTAACTTAAACGATTCCATTCAAATCGGTAAATCGGATCCAGATAAATAAAGGCCAATAAAGTTTAAGCGAAGAAAGATTCTTTCTTGCACAGGCATTGATTAAAGCGTTCAATGATGACTGGGGCAAAGACGCTTATATTTTTCTTTCCCAGTGGAAGAAAGGCAAGAAACTCTGAAGATCTGGCAGCCATGCGCACCCCTGCTATTTCGCATGAGTCATTACGTCGTTTGCATTCTTCACTAGCTGTGTCAACGTTAATTTGGTTGTTGGTGAGCACGTCGTCGTCAGTTGAGCATTGAAAAAACCATGAACGAAAATGAAATTGAAAGTCCTATTTCCAAAGAAAATGAATAGGTACGTGGAAATGAAAGGGGCACTATGAAAAAAGTAACATATGGATTGACTTGGATCTATCGATTTAATCTACATAGACTCAAGTTTGAATTGGTTTCCTCATCGAAAACGAGAGAGTTTGGTTTTTTGAATAGAAACAATTCAAATGTTGTTCATTGGCCAATACAGAAGAGTAGAGATTGATTCAAAGAATTGTGCTCTTTGAATTTTTTTCGTTTACTCGAATACCTGTGACTCTATAAATACTGGATTTCGAACTTCTAGTCAAACAAAAGCGAATTCTATGACGACAAATCAAAGATAGTTAAACCACTGGAAGACATGTCGATCGAATTGATCCGTCGTCGAGTATCAATTTATCTAAGAAAATTATTGACGATATTCCAAGACGAGATCTGTCCTCATTTCTCTTTCCATTTCATTAAAATCGAACTTTTATCGAACTCTTATCGAGATCGAAGATTGAAGATCGAAGCAAACTCGAATATCTCTCTCTACTGCCATTTTCTTCGCTCGTTATTGATCTACTCTGTAGTCAACGTTGTTTGACATTAAAAATCCACCGAACAGTCAAGAAAATATGTTCATCTACAGTGATCCTGTTCTTCCGTTTTTTTTCTCTTGGAAGTCGTTTGAACGACAAGGAGGAGAACGTTGAACGAGGCCACACTAAAGATCGACGTGTCAAATAATGTCAACGAATGAAAAAGAAATTATGATCAAAAACGAATATCTAGACGTTTTTTGAAAAATCTCTGAGTTCGATTTTGTTAACTCTATTCGTTATTCAGTTGTTACTACCTACGTAGATTACTGAAAGAATGTGCGTTGAACAATGATTCAATTTCTAAAACTATTTTCGATTGTTTGACATTTGAATAGACGAGCGAACATTAGAAATTCCACATTATTTTTCTAAAGCGTCCAATACTCAAATATTTTCTGATGATTACTTGACTGCGATTCGATTTGAACGAGTGATATTGATCTTACTTCGGTGTATCTACATCGAAGTTCCATCTCCATTGTATCGATAGTTGAACTCTTCAATAGTTCGTCGAATATCTTGGATTCTCTATGTCAATCTGATTATGTTTCTCATCTATTCGTTCGATTTGACGATATTTATCAACAACAATGATATGATCGTTGATGGCATCATTGAATATTCCAAATAGAAATTTTGATCATCGACACGACGTCGACAATTGTGAATATGGAAACTTTTCTCTCGTTCAAAATCTCATATCAATCTTTCTCATCTGTGAACATTTTACTAAAAAAACGAAAGAGATGAATGATGAAAAGTCCATTGATGAAATTCGTTCAGATGTCAGTGATCAACTGTTTCAAATTGAGGATGTCACCGAATAAAAAGAGAGAGAGACACAGCTGAAATCGGATATGCGAATCAGAGTTGCGATTTGTTTCCAGTCCTTGATGTGTTTATCGAAAAATGTTATTCCAAATTCTAAAATCGACTTGTTGACATATATTCACCGTTATTCCTTCGATGGAACTATCGAGAGAGAATAGAGATCATGACGAAGATGTTCTTCGTGCTGCAATCAAACACTTTGTGTCGAACTTCAATGACTCGTTGATGAAACAAATCTTGACCAGAATCTCGCTCAGATTTTCATGATCTTTGCAGATTGATGAGATTAGCCTATACTGGTTGGCAAGGAGCCAGTCATTTATCGTCGAGCAACTGTTCTTCAGGCCTCTATTGCTACTTCGATGGGATAGTTGGACCACTCGATTATATTAACCAGTCAGTTTCATTTACTGCCAGCCAACTTTACACCGTTTTGTTCTATTTATCTACAGGCACCGGGTCGTCAGGCATCTTTGCTAATATCATTATCAGCTCGTGATACGGAAATGTTGAAACAAAGAACACAAACTATAATATGTGTAGAAAACCAAGAGAAAAGACAGCAGTGTGCGAAATGTTGATCTCGGGCACTTTATTTTTTGAAGTAATAAAAAATGGTGCAATTTCATCAGAAAAGCATAAATGGGCTTTATAAAGTAGTTTCTAGCCATAAAAATAGTTTCCTATCGGTATTTTCAAGAAATATCACGCTTCCGTCTCTTGTGCTCTATCGGGTTCTAAATTGAGTCGAGGATCAGCCACACAGATAAGTCAACCTCCAGAACAAGTTTAATGCATGGATATTAACTCTTGCTTCTCAGAAATTGATATTAAAATAATACATTCTTGAGGATGAGGGTAAGCACGAGCAGCCATGATCGCGATTGCGACTGTACTAGAGGATCTGATCAGACGGCTTAAGTGGTCTTTGAAATAACGTATTTAAACATGTTCAAGTGGCATAATAATGACGTTTTAATGATACCATCACGTAAAAATGCTTTTTCAATGTTTTCTCGACGTGTTTGCATGCGTTGAGGTGATCTAAATACTTTTAGACACGTCCAATTTCTGAATAATCGTCAACTTTTGCCTGTTTCGGAAAACAACCCATTGATAAGCGAAGACTTTCCGTTGATGTTTTACTCGTTTTTTCGTAAACTTGCTTTACTGCATAGAAATAAGATACATTATTACCCATTCAAACTAGACGCCTCTGTGTAGTTGATGTGTTCGATTCATTGTTCATTTTGACTTTCGACAAAGAGAAAGAGAATGAGATATATTAAGACATTTTTCTACCAGCAAGATAAAAATTGGTTTGTTGGTGTGAGTATTTGATTATGAGAGATTACTCACTGTGCTACAATGTTTTTTGACTTCCGTCATCTGTTCGCCATTGATTGAAGTGATGCTAACTCTTTTTCCTCAAATGCTTGCTCATTCATTTTGATATTTGAAGGTGCAGATGATCAGAATACGGAATTAATGTGTTGCTACTCTGCAGTTCATCTGCAAAAAAAGTATAGTTCACAGAAACAATTTTTCGAAGAATTGTACTTGAGAACGTTTAACATGGCAACCGTCGATTGTTTGTCAATGTTCTCTCGTCTCATGGTGTCCATTCCTTTCGCTTGTTGCAGACAGCGAGCGTACATCACTTAAAAGAAATCAGACAAGTTTTAGACAGATGATATGCGGCAAAAAGATGTGCACATATCGCAGGCCGAAATCAGACGATCGATATGGCACATTGGGCTTGGTAGTATCCTTCGAAAGACAGGCGGGCTTTTTCGATAAAGCACTGAAAACAACAGATGATGCACATTTTGAAGCTCAATAATCAAGATTATTTTCATCTAATCATACATTTTCAAACACGTTAACATTATCACATCTTCAGTCTACTTGATCGTCCACATATCATCAACCGTTGAACATCATGAGTAATTCTAATAAAAATTCATTTTGTAAGGTTCAATTTAAACAATATCCTTGTCTATTAATTTTGATTTATTAATCAAATCATTCAACAGAGAATATAATAACTTTTAACCATGAATCTTAACATTTTAAATAAGATAATAACATTTTAATAACCGTAAATCACGTCAACTTTAATTACCTTTCTTCAATAATAAAACCATGTTACAGATAAGAGCAGTTTGATTGTAGCTGCAGAAGAAACGATCGAGTCAGAAGTTGCATAATAAAATATCCTTTTTCTTTTTTCAAAATGAAAACCCCTTTTTATTTGTCCTCGATAAGAACGTCCATCAATAGACAAGTATTGTTCTTGATGGAAAAAAAGGATGGTTGTAGTCTCTGATTCTAGCATGTTCCATTATAATCGCTCTTAGAAAATATTCTACTATTTTTGCAGTGTTTGAATGTCTTTCGTACTTTTCGTGTAAGCAAAACACTACGTAGTTCGCTCGCCCTTATTCTATTGACATCTTATCCAATAAAATTAACTTCATCGACTTGTGACCTTCCGGTGTGATTCTACCTTTCAGATTTTTTATTAAGATGAACGAAACACCCGTTAGGAGACCGATTACAGCAAAAACGTTTTATATTTCTTTCGGGTTGCTCGTTCTGTTTTCAATTACAACAATTGCTCTTGCCGCGGCCACATTGGGCGTGGTTCTCAACCGTCTAAATTCGACGAGCACAACAAATTCTCTCGACAATAGTAGACCACTCTCATTTGCTGAGCAAATAAAAATCGATGATCTAATGAAACATTTAGAGCAACTTCAAGTGATTGCTGATCAAAGTAACGGAACACGAGCAATAGGAACTCGCGGATTCAATGGTACACTCGATTATATTACTAATGAACTTGAACAGAACACAGATTTAGTTATTCGGCATGAGTATTTTACAGTTCCAAATTGTGTCGTTCAAGGGACACCACAATTACAATCGCAAATCAATGACCTTGTCAACAATCATGTTTACTTGACAGATTTCACTCACATTTTATTTTCGTCAGGAGCTAATTTTGATTCATTTATTCGATTGGTCTCGATTCCAAATCTTGGTTGTCTAGATTCCGATTGGATGAGTGTGTTGGCGGCAGACTCTGTCGCTTTGGTCAAACGCGGCAATTGCACATTTCCAGACAAGACTCTACTAGCTGAAAAGTACCGTGTGAAAGGACTGCTCATTTACAACGACGGAACAGCACCAGATCGTTTCCAAGTGTTTCAGAATGTGAGAAGTCATGTGAATGCAACAATTCCGGCCTATTTTCTATCGTATAACCTGGGAATGAGGTTTGTTAATGCAGCGTCCAATGTAAGTGCGAATGCCAGTATTATAATGAAAGTTGATGTAAGCGACGCAGAAGGAATCGGAAATATTTGTGCTGATACGCCAACAGGGGATAAAACAAAAACAATTGTTGTCGGATCTCACAGTGATGGGGTGTTAGATGGGAGCGGAATCAATGACAATGGTAAGAAAAGCGCCGGTATACCGATGGATTATAGTCACTTCACGATCATAGACTATGAGTGTTAGGTGTTTACTAAAAAGGTAGCTGTTAGTCACATATCGCTTTTCTTTCCAAACCGATTTCTTTATTAAAATTTATGAACTGGATGAATAGAGAAGCTCGTTCTTATCCGAAATAGTCTCTATGGGATACTTTATTTATCTTTTTCATTGTTGCTTAGGTAGTGGCACAGTCGGCAACTTGGTTTTGGCTCTTAATTTAGCTCGTCTACTTCAGACATCTTCGTCGAACTACGCCCAATACCAATATCGTGTTCGATTTTGTTGGTGGGGCGCAGAAGAACTCGGTCTTCTCGGTTCTATTTATCATGTTGACCAGGCCTCCTCGCCTAGCGCGACCATTGAAAGCGGGCGTTTACAAGATTATCTATTATATTTGAATTATGATATGCTAGCCTCTCCCAATAGTAATTTTGGTATTCTTGACAGTTTAGCAGTTCCACCGGCAACACCCGAACAGGCTCTACCCGGCACTGACCGAATCACGAATCTATTTCAGCAATGGTTTAATGAACAGAAACTTCCGTGGAGCAAATCGGGGGTCGGAGGTGGCAGTGATTTTGTACCATTTTTGACGAATGGTATAGCTGTTGGCGGGGCAAACACAGGGGCTGGTGGGATCAAATCAGCAAGTGAACGAGATGAATATGCAGCGGTGCTGGGAACGGGAAATGGTGGAATAGCCAATGCTGCCTATGATTCATGTTACCATCAACAATGTGATCGGATAAAAAATGTGAATCCGTTTGCATATGAGAAAGTTGTTAAAGCGGCTGCTTATGCTACTGAGTACATGGGACGATTGAACGATTTGGAAAAGTGGCTTTACCCGCAAGGTCGAGCGAAGAATGTTGAACTGATCAATAAAAATCAGCTCTATGATATTCATAATGATCCTGATCTTTTTTGAATTTGACTAAAGTAGTCATTACATCCTTTGATATGACTGCTTCAAAGGACTGGATGGGATATTTGAAAACTTTTATCGAATTTTAACTGACATGAATTCCCTGTAAAAATTTTGCTTCACTAGCTAGAAATAACTAACTTGAAATAAGATATGAGCGAGATGTTCCGATTTCTTTAACATTGAGCCGTATGAACAGCAAATTGGTATGGCCGAATCAAAATATTGCTTTTCGAACGACACTCCGTAATGCTAACAATTGACAACAATTCGTCTGAGATCATGTCAGTTGTTCATTGCTCACCAATTATTTTTGCTGGCTTGAACAACTCGACCTTCGTCCAGTGGCTCAAAAAATTATTGAAACACTCATATCTACCATCCATTTCAAAAAAGAAGATAACTACTGAACAAAGGCAGTTAGTGACCTGTGATTTTCATCATTCGAAAGAGAAGATCAGGGCACATAGGTATCCGAGACGAAGAAAATTTTCCATCGTATTCCTGTAGGTTTGCTTGAAGTATCTCTGAAAAACCATCTAGCCTATCGAGGAAGCTCTGTTCGATTTTCGACCTATACGGTGTGTTCTGTGTTTGTTGTAATGCTATGGCTGCATTTTCATTTCGTTGTTTGAAGTAATTACTATTCTTTCTCTTTGATTCTTTCTTAATATTGGAAGATCTATAACTTGTTGATTCTGTAAAATAATCGTTATTAAATTTAATTTCTTCATTAAAATCATCAGAAGCAGAACAGAAGAATAAATATAAGCAGAACAGAAGAAAACAATTCTTCACTGGGTTTTTTCCCAAAACGAACAGCAACAAATGTAACAGTATTTAAACAGGCAGACGGCAATATTATTGCACAAAGAAAGATCTCACTGCTTCATACTTTTCGTCGTTAACAACAGGTTGGTATAACATTTCAAACTCACATTTATTCTTCTCAGTGAAACTAAAATATAACCAAGAGAAAAAGTGTAGCGACTACGTTATCAAAGACCACAGAGATAGATTTAACCTTCAACTTTAGTGCTTTGATACTCAGTGGTGCGGAACTGGGGGTNAAACAGGCAGACGGCAATATTATTGCACAAAGAAAGATCTCACTGCTTCATACTTTTCGTCGTTAACAACAGGTTGGTATAACATTTCAAACTCACATTTATTCTTCTCAGTGAAACTAAAATATAACCAAGAGAAAAAGTGTAGCGACTACGTTATCAAAGACCACAGAGATAGATTTAACCTTCAACTTTAGTGCTTTGATACTCAGTGGTGCGGAACTGGGGGTCAGTAGTGTAATCTTAGTATACCATAGAAAATCAGGAAAATTATCTTTCGTCCGGTTTGGAAGGAAACAGCTGCTCGTAGCTCTCTAAAAAGCTGAAGAAAACTGTTACGCTGGCGCATAGTTACTTTTAAAACGCGTTTGCGTAAATTGGACCAGGTGAGCGTCTTGACATCTAAACATCAGGTCATTCTGTTCAGACTTTTCCATCTGTTCAAGGTGCTGATGTAACGACGTTGCCTACTACGAAAAGGAGTTAACAATCTACTTTTTGTGCCCTGCGAGAGCGTACAAATGATTTCTATACAAGTAATTGTAGCGTTTTTTATTATCAGCCTTCCTTTTTTCTCTCGGATTTAATAAAATTTTATATCTGCTCTATTTTGAACAAGTATACTGAACTGAAGTAACAGCAGTGCTTGATACAAGCTTAGATGGATATTCTTTTCCTCTTTCTGTTCGTTCACATGATAAAATACGAAAAGAGAAAATGGAAAGAAAAACATACATATTCAGAACAAAAAAATTCTGAACAGTTCTGAACAGAATTTAATCAGCCGAATAATTAATAAAAGTGGGACACTGTCTCGATGTGCAGTAACTTAGATCTGAAAATCTTTGTACTACTCTAAACAGGTCAACCTCTCTCAGTGTAATATCTGTGGAAATCGAAGATATATATTTTAGTTGAGGCAGACGTAACATGAGTCTCTCTAAAGACTAGTCACAAAATTGAATGAAGTTCTCCCAAGCTTGAATATTGATCACTAGATGATAAGGGGCTTTTTAAATCGTTTTCAAATCTTAAAAGCAACAAAAATTAAAAAACTCTATCGGAACAGACGGGACTTGTTGCACACTCATATGTATGATTGCGAGACCGTTACTCCACCATTGGATCGTATTAAGTTCTAAACTGCTTAGGACAACAATTCGATCATGATTTTGACGTGAACTGCGTTTTCAGTTCGGTCCAGATAGCGGCGCAATTGAGGACCAATCGAATACATAAGTTAACAATTAAAAAAACTGCGTTTCGGCTATATAACATCTTTATAAACAAGTTGAAATTGAAATCTTTGCTTTTGTGACTGTTATTCGTAGGAAAGATAAGTACTTTGTTCTGCTATCATACATGAACGATTAAGTACTATTCAATAAACCTGTGAATATTAAATGAAGATTTATTCTTATTGTAAATTTTAGTTAAGCGTAGATATAACAGAGATATCTCACGGTTGTATTCATATGATCATAGTCCAGTTCACACTTCATTTTATATGTAAAACTTTTGGGAAAATATGACAGATTTTTCTAAAGTCTCTGTGAAGGGTGAAAGCTTGAGATTCCACGAGGGTTTATAAAAGTTCTTGAAGTCACAGTGCGGAGTTTGAAAAGTCTTACTACTTTCCCTTGGTATCAACGGAGAATTTTTCATTTTTGCAGAGATTTCTACTTTCGTCATTCTATGCGCCATATCAATTGAGCCACTTATTAGACAACATTCGGACAATTGCTGCTCACATTTTAGTCTTTTGTTTTTACAGTCGAAAATACGAGTTTGACAACGATGGATACATTTTCCGATGCATACGATGAAAAAATTCGTCCTCTAATGGACAAAATAGATCAAGCTCGAGCCATTTTATCATCGAGTAATGATGGGATTATTTTTCCGAATGTAGTCGTAGTTGGTGATCAATCAAGTGGGAAATCAACATTATTAGAAGCATTATCTTTAGTTGAGCTTCCGAAAGGATCTGGCATTGTAACAAGATGTCCACTTGTATTACGACTACGAAAAGCAAATGAACGACGTGTCTACCATTTACATAGTGATCATCGAAAAACTCAATTAGATGAAGCCAAATTAAATATTTTACATTATATTGAAGAAGAAACAAAAAAATTAGCCGGCAATAACAAAAATGTTGTTCACGACTTAATCGAATTACAAGTCGAAGATCCAAATGTACGTGATTTAACTGTTGTCGATTTACCTGGCATAGCCCGAAATCCTATTGCCGATCAACCAAAAGACATTCATAAACAAACAACAACTTTAATTCATCAATTTATTCGTCAAGAAGGTAGTGTTATTCTATGTGTCTTCCCGGCAAATGTCGACATCGCTACTGTTGAATCATTCACATTAGCACGTGAATTCGATCCTGAAGGTAGTCGAACAATAGGTGTGATAACAAAATCGGATCTTGCTTCGGATAATACTGTCTTAGCACAACAATTACTGATGGAAAAACCGGATGTATTTCAATTAAAATTAGGTTTTATTGCTGTTCGTAATCGAAGTACAGATGAAAGAATTTCTCTCGAAGATGCACGACATCGTGAAAAAGAATTTTTTCGTGAACATCTCATCTCAACTCTGGTCGGATCGCATTGTCTGGGTATTGATGCATTAATAAATCGCTTAGCTGATTTATATTCCGATCGTGTTCGTGAAATTTTTCCAAAAATGAAACACGACATACAAAAAAAATTAAAAGAAGTTCGTGATCAATTAGAAAAACTGCCACCAAGTTTAGAAACAGCTTCAGCACGATTAACAAAATATTATGAATTAGCTGAATTTTATATTGATAAAATTCTCAAACAACGTTTTACAAGTTCCAGTGATGGTCGACATCCTATTAGTTTAATCAATAATTTACATATAAAATTTAAACAATTTGAAAATGTTATTCATGGACAAAGTCGTGAATTATTTACAGACAAATATCGTGTGAAAGTACGAGATGCCATGTCAGCATGTTTTGGCGAGCAGCTACCGAATTTTCTTCCACATCCTGTATTAAAACGTTTAATAGGTGAGAAACTTGATCAACTTTGGACGGTAGCGACTTTACTTATCAACGAATGTTTTCACAAAACAATGAGTATTTTGTTAGAAAATGATCGTGAGGAATGTCATGATGACATTTTATTACTAAAATTATTACCGTTATTTCGTCATATTGCTATTGATTATTTGAATGATAAGAAACAAGCAATCAATGATCAACTGAAAGAACTTATTCGATTAGAAAAACATGATCCATATACACTGAATCATTATTATATGGATACAATTACAAAATTTAAAGATTATTTGGCACAAAAACGAGCGGAAAACGGAGTAAAGAAGAGTTCTTCATCGACGACAGATTATGATGATATATTAATGTTCGATTCGGTTTCTAATGATGATCAAGCAGTACAAGATATGTTAGTTAGTATCTATACCTACTGGAAATTGTTAACCAAACGTTTTGTTGATTATGCAGCATTATCTTTACGTGCTGGATGTGTTTTTGATGTATGCAGTGGTACAGGAGATTGTTTAAGACAATTACCTAGAAAACAAACTGATTTTGTTGATAATTATCTGGCTGAAGATACGTTCATTCGAAATAAACGGAACCAATTACAACAAACAAAAGAACGATTGGAGAAAGTTTATGCGATACTTGGTGGTAGTTTTATGACTGTAAATGATAATGGCACGTCAATTAATATGGCATCCATAGTATCTGACACAGCAATGACTTTGGATAAACTTTCAGAAGATCTCTCTCGTGCTAGTATGCATGAGAGTATTGGTTCTTCAACGGTTTCACAAAACAATTCACTTCTCGAGAGAATCCCATCGCAGTCGCTTTCAACTAAAACGTTTACACATCTCAACGGCTACAAGTTTCAACAAACGTTAATAGAAGATAGTTTCGATGGGTGAAGCATTATCGTAATACTGTAGATTGAATAGATCTATATTATTCAAAACCCTTTTAAATGCTAAGTTTTTCCTTGAACCTTCTCAACATAATTTTTCCGCCTGTGATGTCTTTACATTCGTTTTTGTGCACACACGCTTGAAGAAGACAGGTTTTTGCGTGGTTTCGGGTTTGCCGAATGTTGCATTTCAAAAGCATGAAGACGGACGACGAGTGCTGGTTGTGGTTAACAAAAACGATCGAGGACAAATAATGTTCGAGATTCGATGCGATGGCCGAATATTCGAGACACCGCTCAATGGTGCAGTGTGGGAACTTACATTTGATGAGATCTTACTTTGATGGAAACATTCAAAAAAAAAGCAAAAAGATAAAATATAGTCATACGATGACAGCTGTGGAAAGGCGATCATTGAGAGACTGGCCTCCTTTTAGGTCTCGGTTAATATTTCGAAAAGAGAAATGCTTAAGAGAGGATCCATGAGAAAATCGAACAATTTTTCAAATGCCGTCACCTCAAAAAATGTGGGGGGGGGGGGGGGGGGGGGGGGGGGGGGGGGGGGGGGGGGGGGGGGGGGGGGGGGGGGGGGGGGGGGGGGGGGGGGGGGGGGGGGNTTTGCAGCTGTTTATTATTCCAAAAGACAATATCTTATCTCACGCCAGACGAGATAAACCCCCTTATTTTAAAAATCCCCCACCCCAAAAAATCTGGGCCCCCCCCCCCCCCCACATTTTCATGCGCAAAACATTAGGTCATTTTTTTTAGACGTTTCCACTCATATCTTATACTATTCGATAGAACAACATTCGTTCTACAAAACTAGGTGATATACATTTGTATCTTTCATTTTCGTAAAGCGTAAGAAGTCAAGCTATGGACTTATTGTACTGCATTTTTCGAAAAAAGTCCGATTTTGTTCAGTTGTCTCTAGTATTTTTCAAGTATTCTTTTTATAAAGTTCACCGTCTCGGTTTCTAGGTCCCGCAAATTTTATTTGTGCGCTAGATACACTAATTGAAAAGCTTCAAAATGAGCCCAACATCAATCGGACAAAAGATGTGTCATTTGGACGAGTTCGCCCGGGCTTTGACGTTGGGCGATAGAGTGAGGCGAACAACCGGCAAAGATCAAGAGCAGAACTTGGGTGAGGGTGTCTCAATCGTTTAGTTATTCTTCGTTCAGATCGATCGTTGTCAGTACATGCCTTCGATTCGTTCTCGCCACCGTCCAGACAGACGACCTGACCGTTGCGCAGCTCGCGGTTGTCGGCTGCTGATTTTCGCTGAACGTAACTCTTCGAAAGTGATCGCTTCCTCTTTTATCACCCTCTCATTCTCCAATGAGTGAGAACTGAGTAGGCGCTGACAATACGAAATGATCTGATGGGCGTCGTCCTTTTCAGGAATTTAACGCAGCCGACCAGGCAAACTTTTTAACTGAACATTTACTTCGGCCATGTGGCGGTCTGCGCATTGGAGCACGATGCTCCCAACTTCTTGTGCTGCTGCTTGTGGAATCTTAGTGATCAAGACACATTGCCTCTCGTCAACGTTCTTCATCAGCGTCCGTTGCCGAGCGTTCATTAGATCAGATGACGTATAAGTTCTAAGTCTTCCAATTTTTGGCGGCTTCCATGACGATGCTACTGTAATTAGTTTGATAGATTGAGCAGAATACGTAAGAGTATAATTGAGATTTGAAAGTTCTCGTGCTTTCGGGACGAATGCCTTCGCCTATGATTATCATTGTCCTCCAGTTCAGTGTGCCGAAAATGTGCTCCGTAAAAATCGATCAGGACGTTTAAGTTCTTGTCTTTATCTGTATGACTGGATGCAGCGAAACTTTTCGTTCATATCCATGATCTGCATGGCGTTCGCTACTCTCAATTCTTGGACTGCTCTGGCTGCAAGTCTAAGTGTGGCTTTACCGTCCAGTAGTCCGCACGATCCTATGGGGATTATGTCTTGCTTCGATAGGTCAGCTGAATAATGCAGTGTCATTAGCCGAAATTTGCAGCGTTTATCCAGCCTATATATCTAAAAACGCTTAAAAACCTTCCAGGGTTCGAAGTTTAACCTCCTATGGAACGAGATCTACGTAGACAGGTAGCCCTTTTAAGAACGAATCGAATGATATATGATAAGTCTAGTTTGAGTGAATTTTTCATACAATAGAGATTTTCGCATTTTTAACTCGCGGGACATTTTCGCAGTAAAATGGACTTTTCTCAGAAACGACTAAAGCTCTAAAGTCGAAACTTTAGGAAAATTTGGAAAGGTGAAAGTCAAATGTTCAATAATTTGAGAAATATCAATAAAATATTTTTCAAAAACTCGCGGAACTTGTAGTGTGAAAATAACCATTTTTAAAAATGTTTTGCTCCTCTCAGACGAAAGATATAATTAAATATCTAAGAAACGGTGTATGAATTTGGAACTCATTCACATGTTTTAAAAGTAGCATGTGTTTATTACAATTTATTTGCAAAGAGTAAGTTGAGATGTTATTTTATTTAAATAAAAAATTGATTTTATTGTCACTAGGTGTCAGCTAAAATCATAACCACTCGTAACTTTGAGTTAATTTTTTCAGTGGTAGCGAGCATAGTTTAGATAAATAACATATAAAAATTTCGCTAAGATTCATTCACTAACAAAAAAGTTATCGCTTTTTTATATGTCGGATGTGAACGGTACAATGGCAGCGCAAATCGCTCATATATAGGAGCTGGACGCTCTGAGGTCAATATAGGCACATGTAAAGACTCGATTGTCTTTCGACCAGAATCTTATGAGATTTAAAGGACTTTTAAAGACATCTATGTATAATATTGAGTTATATTATGTAACTTATATATAGCACGGGAATCGAGAAAACAAATTGATGATTTTGTCGTCAACGAATCTTGCCACTTCAGACAAGAATTTTTAACGAAAAAAGATGAAAAATGAATAAAAAATTAAAAGACGAACCTTGTCTGATCTATCAAGACAAAATTGAGGATTACTGAAATGACAAGTTACAAGAATCTTGCAAGAATATTCATAAGAACGTCGACGGGTGATGTTGAAAGAATAAAATGATGAATGAAAACAACGCTGCACTGACTTTTCGTCTTTATGACACAGTACTCATCATTTTATGACACAATATCTCCATTTTTGCTAAATGTCTATTATTAAGCAAAAACACAACGAAAAACATATACTTCCGTTCTTTTTTATTTTCATTTGGATGATAGCATTTTTGTTGTAAAACATATTTTTAAATTTCTTTTTTACCTGCCGTAAGTAGGTTTCACTCGAGATATTCTCAAAAAATACAAGGGATCTTCTGTCTAATGGACTATGTTTGCCACGTAAAGCTTTATCGTTCTAAACAAGAAATATAACTTAGCAGCTCGTTTCGTACCGCTAATGACCCTAGGCGACCGAAAGTACGGAAATCAGATAAGAATCTTATAGAAATCATATGAAAATGTTATATGCTCCAGTCGAGAGAAATGCATACTGCAATCATAAGATTCTTATAATTCGCAGCATAAGAATCTTATAAGAATTGAATAAGATTTTAGCTTTATAATTTTCCTACAAGATTCTTATAATCTTATAAAAAATGTTCAAAAATTTCAAAGTTCAAACTTTGCTCTTATAAGTTTCTTACATAAGAATCTTATAAGCACAGTATGCATTTCTATCGACTGTAGTATAAGATTCTTATCTGGTTCTATAAGATTCCTATATGAATCGTATATAAGATCTGATTTCTAGGGAAAGAGGCATACAGAGAAATTAAGTTGTATAAAAAAGTGAGTTAGTCTGAAGTTTGGAAAAATCGAATCTATATTTTAAAAGCGGTATTTGTTTGACACCTTCTGCGTTTTTATTGTTAAATAATGGTAATATTGACATTGCTTGTTAGTATAGATAAATGTCCTATCAAAGTATTAGATATCATGGGGAAGTTCGACGATTTCCTATAATTACTATTGATAATGAACCATGTGTACTACTTAAAGATATTAAGAATGATTTTCCAAAAATAACATCTTTGAGTTTAAATGGTTGTCGTATCATATTCTTAAGTGATAATAAAGGAAATCGATTAAAACCACCAAGAATAGTGGCACAACCAGATGAAATATTTGATGGTAATGAAGCACGTTGTGTAACAGCTGAACGTCGTGCGAACGAAAAGATAGACCAAATTAGTCGAGAGATTATTGATATTGGACATAGATTGACTGGAAGAAATGATGCTGCATTTCGACTGATGTATGGACTAGCTGAATTTACCATACCCGTCTCTTCATTGTTTTACCAGATCCAAGGTCAAAGTGGAATGTCAGGAATTTGTTTGAGAATCGTTATCGTCTGTTTTTTCTGTGTGAAGGAATAGAAGAAGAGCAGCCGCATTTGGCGTTACATGAAGGTTACTTTATAAAAAAACCAAAAGAATTCTTAATTGAATATGGTCCGCATTTACGTGCCATGATAACTATTATGAAAGCAGCTGTGACAGCTGCAGGTTTCGTTATTCCGGCTTTAGTTAACGTTGTACCAAGTATAAAAATACCAGATTTACTAAAAGACTACGAAGTTTTGGACAAGTTTCTCGATGCACTTAATAAAATGGATAACGTATTAGATGAAGTCACTCAGCCAGTTTCTTCAAATACCCCGCAGCGTGTAGAAGGTGTCGATTTGCGAAAACTTCAAACATTTTTAGAACGAGCTGATAAGTGTAGGACGCTCGGTAACTTATCTCGTACAACAACAGACACGGGTAATGTTCGATGGGTTTGCCTTTTGCATTACGATAAAAATTACACTACAATACGTAATGAAGACATGATAAGACAATTTGAAACGACTGTCGGTGTATACAAAAAAGAAACGGCTACAGCTACAGTTAAATCACGAAAACTTTCGAGTGAAAATATAAAGATGCTCCGTGATTCAATCAAAAATGGATTCGACATACGTGAACTTAGTTTAGACAAATGTGAACTGTCTCAATCGGATTTTGATAAATTATTATTAGTTATTAAGCATAATTCATTGCTGAAAGTATTGACATTGAATGACATCAAAGTTAAACCAATGTTTGGAAGGGAACTCAGTTGTGACGAGATCGATGGTAAACTTGACGCGATTTTAGCTGATAAAAAAGATTTAGATATAAATTTTCTTATTGCCAAACGAAGCTTCGAATCGTTACAACTCGTTGAATTTCCGAGACCGTCCATAGCAGAATCGACCTTTTTGAAAAGTCATGGTACCTTCCGAGTGTCTAATTTCGCACTCGTACAGCTAGTTCGAAGGGCTTAAAAGAATAAGATAGTCAAAATACATTATCAGTAACATTTTACCATTAATGGGCAACGATAGAAATAAGAACTTTAGTGCAATTGCGGCTGAAATACCCTTAACTTCAGGGCTGGGCAACTCCGCTGACTTTCAACTCCAACTCTCTCAACAAAAATCTCAACTCCGGTTGCTTCACTTTTGTAAAAAAGATTTTTTGGTTTTTAGCAAGATTCTGGACGTTTTTGAGCTTTTTCAGGCAGAAAAGTGCAAAGAACTTCCAAATTCACTCGTGAATACAGCTACTCAATCGTTTAGAAGATCAGTTTACAACTATTGAATATTTCCAAAAATGCAAAACGGAGTTGAGAATAAAAATTCAAAAACCCAACTCCAGCTCCACCAAAAAAATCCTCAACTCCGGAGTTGGAGTTGCCCAGCCCTGCTTAACTTGGTTTAACATAATTAAGAGTTTATTAAAATAAATAGAATAATTATTAAAACAAATTTTCGCCCTATTTATACGGCCACTATCAAGTGAATATGTCGTACAGAGCGTTACAGTGAAGTAACAACAAGACTAAACTAAATTGGCCTTGTTCATCGAGACCACAAACCAATGAAATGAATCATCAATGTGCACAAACCAACACATGGGTGCTTCCACATAGCTCCGTCCACTTTATACACTCTTTTATTCGGGAAGATCTCACTATGCATGTCTTGTGGAACTCTTCGAGTTCAGTTTATGGCTGCTGTTGTACCACATGATGTTCTATTAGCAGTTGTTTTTTGTTCATCGGTTAATTTTTAAATTGCTCAGGATATAATCCACCTGCCGATATTCCCAATCTACATCGTGTACAAAGACTGTTTCTTTCAGTTTCTCTTATCTCGAATTTCTGATGTACTATGTATACAAATACCATTAAATTTAATCACGTGTTAGAGTAATTATAAATGCACATGGACACTCAGTGAATGTACAATAATCTCGAGCAAAAAAAATAATATCATTTAATTTTTTGTTTATTGGATGGCTTTTCCTTATTCCATGCATGATCTTTGTATGCAAATATACAATATCCGTTTGCTTTGCTCAGATAACGAATGGTTCAATATATGAGTGCAATTTAAGTATCGTCGAGGTGGATTTATTTGTGTAGTTTCTTTATCACGCATGTTTTTCTTTTTTTCTAATAGTATTAATTCCAGACATCCATCAGACATTATGAGCTGCTGTTCTGACTAACTAAATTGAGTGCAGAAACGATGATTATTATGATTCAACGTGGACCTGAATGAATATAAGATGAACGTTACTTGTTATGTTAGTTGCCTTTGAATCGAATACATTAATTATTATTATTATTATTATTAATATTTGTTCATCTTGCTTAGACTTATTCATCTTTTTTTTGTATGTTTTCAGTCGTAGCTTTAGCTGGTATTGTAGGATATATTGGTGTCTTTAACACATCCAGAATGTTTTGGAGACATTCGGACATCTCGTTTTATGCACGAAAAATGCATCTCCTTTGCATAGAGATCTACGAAAACATCATAAGTGCATAAAATGGGAATCTAGGTGCCTTCGTAAGTATCATAGCTGGGCATGCAACGGTTATTTTATCAGGGCTCTTGCAGGCAGTAGTTTTAGAACTTGAGAAAATTTTTAAAATTTTTTCGAGTCGACAGTTTTGTGCACAAATGTTTGCTCTACAAAATACAAAATTGCACACTTTCTCACGATGGTTCATCACTGAGAGATGAATTTTTTTCTTTAAAATAGGACCCGTTATTAATTGCTCAGTTTTTCAGGTAAAAACTTTGTATCTCATCGATCAACTATCGTGAGAAAGTGTGGAATATCTTATTTTGTAGAGCAAACATTTGTGCACAAAACTGTCGACTTGAAAAAATTTTAAAAAGTTTCTCAAGTTTTAAAACTACTGCTCCCAGGAGCCCCTATAAAATAACCGTTGCATGCCTAATCATAGAGCGCTTTTTATATAGAAATATTTTTATATTGATCAAAAATGGTTGTACTAAAAGTTCTTCTAAATTTTTTAGTCAAGTAACGTAACTCTTCGTAGGCCAATCATTCGTATTGATGAAGAACTATCTACTGGAAATTTTTTGCGAGAGTAAAACCTGGATGCTAATGTTCTGCATAGAGATCTTTTTATTTGATGGTTGGGTAGTGCTCCAGGATCCCACAGTGAGAGAACGCTTATATTTAAGCAACATTCTTACAAACTGAGGAACATCTGTAGAGAACAAGTACTTGTAGGTGGGCTTAAAAATGTTTTGATTATGAAGAACAAGAGATATTCGGCTTTGAAAACGGTCGTTTTTGACAGAACAACAGGATTTTTAAATCTTAAAATTACCTTAAAGAGAAACTTAAATCAGATTTGTAATTAGGACGCATAACTGAGTTGAATAGAGTGTCGCTGAATAGTTTTCGCATAACTGCAAAAACCGACTAATCTAACGGATCATCGTTTAATCTCGTCTAGATTTTAAAACTCTTAAAGTCTTGATTTTCTGTCAAAAAACGACGGTTGTCAAAGTCGAATTTATCATTACCTTTTAAGAAATAACCGGTTAACTAGTTCAGTGATCACCTTTGGATACCTTTAGAAGGACGCGGGTATAGGTCAGAAAACTTTACCGTAAGGCACATTTTTCATGCTGATTCATCAAGAATCTTTTTGGACTCTCTCTATGCAAAAAGACATTTGTTTGAGGAAAGGCGATGATGGAACTACATTTTTAAACGATTATTTCACTGTGGCTTTTGATGTGAAAAAATTTGAAGTGTAGCTAAAAGGTAGAGCGAAATCAGGGTTACAAAACGGCTAATTCAGTTTTTCTTACTTTCAAAACATCAACACAAGAAATCATTTTTGAGTTTAGGAAGTTTATATTTTTTTTGACTTTCGTCTATCTGGCTTAGTTTTCTTCATTGAAGTTCTGAAATTATAGTTTAGGTATGATTTTGTAGAGTATTTCGCCGTGCATCTTTTAAAAAAGCATCGAGTCTCGGAAACAAATCCAAACCAAGTTATAATTTTTTGCAAATGACCGCCAACTTTTTGCTCAATCTAGTAAACAATTATCACCATCAAAATGCAAACAAACGACAATTGTGACTGTGATTTTTTTTAAATCGAACGGCCTTTGCTTTTGTCACGCAATATTTTTAGATACATAATTTTATCTATTTCTAATCACTTTTCTTTTTTTGCATTGAATGATCAATAACAAAATGAACGATGTTTCTTCAGCAGATATATTTTCTATTTTATTGTTCTGATTATTGATTAGAATTTTCTATTGCCGTTGTCGATCTTAACTATATTTCTCTAAAAATGCATGTTTATTATGTATTTTTGAAGTAAAAAGAGTTTCAGATACAATTGACTCAAGTCCATATTATCAACAAATCCTCTTTCTTCCTTTTGATGGGACTATTGTAATGTCAGATTCTTGAAGAATAAAGTTCAAGGTCAGTTGAGGCGCTTCTTGTCGCTGATAGCCAGTTGCTTAAGAAAGTCAATATTTATGACTGTAACAGTTTGGGAATAAGTTTTTGGAAGACTAGTGAGTTTAATTACGATTGGTCAGTCGGCATTGTTAAGCAAAAAATGTTCTATTAGCTTACGCTCAAATATGGACAATGAGTGTGACTATTTTTCATTAAAAATCAGTGAAACTATTCTCTTCTATAAAATCGAAATTACTTGATGATCAAAACGCTCGTTTTTTGGTAGTCATTTCGCAATCAATAATTTTAGTAATAAAAAAAATGGATGTGCCATGTTTTTCTATTCTACCAATTCTACTATTCTGACCATTTTATATTCTATAGATACCATTTTTAGCTGAATTAAGCACGATTGCTATTGTCAATACACACTTTTTATGTCAACATTTAATCTTCTTATTACATTATATATATTAGTTCATTTGCCAATAATTGATATAATTATCGTTTTCGATAATCATATAAACATATTCTTACAAACTAGCCATAAAAAACTTAAAAATTGTATAGTATTATTATGTAAAACGATTAAGATGAACTATGAATAGATAGTATCTTTCTTCAACATATAGTAAAGTAATATTCAATTGTATTTTGCCGTCTAGTTGGTAATACATGCCGATACATTATAATATTTAATTGATTAACTAATCGATTATATTCTCCATAAGATTGATAATTTTCTTACGTTCTTTTTTGTGAATTTTATTTTGATTCATAATACAGAACAATTGAAAACAATTTACAACATACTTTTTTTTCTTCCCAACTATACTTTTCATGCTTGAATGATTTGATGTAATAATAATAATCACATATGTAGAACAACAGTGCAGTACTAGCAAGGCACTGGTTAACAATTTTCAAACAATTCTTTGATATTTAAAAAGAGCAATAGATCTCTTTGTACACCAGTGCCACTGTAGTCATTGTCGATTTATACACAGTCATCATGCTTGTTATAGCGTATACAATAGACACTGACTGAGATTTTTTATGATGACTTCTGCTATTATTCAAAGCGATTATGATGTTAACAACATTATTGGGACTGAACATGGAATACAATATTCAACTGCTATTGACTCAAATTCTCAACCATCCGCTTCAATTCCAGATGAAGAAGTTCAATATTCTATGTGGAATATGTTTAAAAGACACATTCCTCGACTTATTTTAACTGTTCTCGTGGATATTGTGATACCTCTTGTTCTCTATTTCGTCTTACAAAAGTACTTGTTATCGGTTTATGCTTTGTTGATTGCAGGATGTCCAGCACTTATTATGGTTATTGTTAAAGCTGTATGGTCGCGAACATTTGATGGTATTGGTTTTCTGGTATTTATCGGTTTCTTTATCTCGGCTATAGTCGCTATTATTACTAAAAATGCTCGTGTACTAGTATTTGAAAAATCTCTTATTACTGCTGTCATGTCTGCGATATTCTTGGTTAGTTTAATACCATTTCATATAAGATGTGGACAACGAGTTAATTTGAAACTGAGACCATTGGTCTATTATTTTTATATGGATTTAATACCAATGGGAAAGAGGCAAGCTGGTCTTAGTCGAGTAATCATTGTTGATCAACATGATAATAGATATAGAGAATTGCAAGAAGAAATAGATGATATACAGCAGACAACTTCTGAAAGACTGATTGAACCATCTAAAGAGGAAGTAGAGGCTGTTTATGATTGGATTTATCATCATTGTTCAAGTTTTCGATATTCATGTTATGGTCTTACAATTCTTTGGGCTATTGGATTTATGGTTGAGTTTGGGGGGCGATTAGCGCTCGTTTTTGCTCATTTATCAGTGAATATAATTGTTCTCTACGCTAATGTGATGTTGGCAGTTGTTGCATCACTATGTGCGCTTTCCTCGATGATTATTATCATTATTGAAAGACGACAAACAATGAATCAAATTAAACAATGGCAATTAGAAAACTTACATCATACTCCTACTGCTGTTACCCATATGCAAGTTTAGACACGTAGATATGTAACGAGATTTAAGCAAACGTCAGTCAAAATTATTTTATATTTAGGTATTAATTAAG